TTTTGCTAGTGATTCTGTCTTGAGCATTGTAAATATCTGGCTTTATATTTTGGTTGTTTTTTTTTTTTTTATATCCTGATTATTTATTATGATGTTCCGTGCGAACGCTGTTTTAATACTTGCTTTAGGGCTGTCTGTCCTTGGTGAATCTCTGAGCCTTTGCTTGTCTGAGAATGTTTTTATTCTCCTTCATATATGAAGATTAGTTTTCAGGAAAATATTCTAGGACTTGGCATTGTTTGTTCAAAAGAGTGAGAATGGGCCCCAAGTCCTCTTGCGTAAGTCTCATTAGAGACAGTCTGATTTATTCGAATTGCTTTCCCTTGTATGGTCACTTTGCTCTTTTGTCTTACAGCTCTTAGAAAGGGCCTCTTTAGTTGATACTGTGGTCAGTCTGATGACTGCATGACTGTGACGTCTTCTGTTGCATTGAATCTCCAGGGTTCCTGGGCTTCTTCGAATTGTATATCAAAGATTTGAGGCAAAGCCGGAAATTTTCCTCCTATTTATCTTCAAAAGCTCTGTCCAGCCCTTGAGTGTGCTCCTCCCCTTCGGCTAACTATGACCCTCACGTTAGGTGTTTTCAGCATAATCCGCACAGCTCTGAAGGCTTTGGTTCTCTTGTTTCTCTTGTATTCTTGACTGATTTATTTAATTGGAGTTTATCTCAAGGCTCCTGAGATTCTTTTCTGCTTGATCTTACCGCTGTTCTTGGAGACTTTCCCACAGTATTTTAGTGTCTCTGAGTTGATCTTCATCTCCAACGGCTTAAAGTTTCTTCACTGTGTCAATCTCTTTGTTGACTTTGTTCCATTCTTGGAGTTTTTGTGTTTTCTTGGTGTTGTTATTGAGTTGTTGTGGCAGCTGGTGATGTTTTATGATCCACACGAATTCCTTCTGTCATAATTGGTTGCTGTTTGGTCGTGCCGTTTCGAGGGCGCTGGTGCTCCTCCTTTTTGGGGGTGTTTCCGTTTGCGTACTTCAGTATTTCCTGAGTTCTTCCGCGATTTTCCGCATGTCGATCAGATTGTGTTTCTTTCCTTAGGTTATTGTGGTATTCACACACCTTGTTTCAGTTCTGAGCGTTAGTGGTGCCTGTTGGGTGAAATTTGGACCCACATCCCCTGTATACTTGAGTCATGTGGATGCCGTGGAAAGGCCGTCATCAGATGCCGGAGCGCGCCGCGTCAGCGTAGGTGGCGTTCTTGGAGACAGCATATGTTGTTTGATTTTGTCCGTTCCAGCTTCTCGTTCTGGCCGGAGCGGGTTGGTAAGGCCTGCCCCTCAGGCCCGTTACCAGGGGTCAAAGTTCATGTTCTCAGCTTACAGGGAAAGCGTCATGGCAGGGCATGGAATGGCCCGCTCACCAAGAAAGCTGGAGGTGGGGTGGGGCTGTCTTGAGACCCGAGCTGCCAGCCTCCGCGTTCTTTCCACCCTCCCCCCAACTCTGCAGCTACTCCCTGGCCTCTGCCAGCAGGCCAACCACAACAACCCCAGCGGCTCCGGCTGTGGTGCCGCGGGGAGGTCTGCACAGGACGGCCACCTGTGACCACGGCCTCCCCTCTGGGAGAGGTGGCCCCTCTAGGACACCGATCCGCCCCTGGAGGCACACAGCCCTCAGTAGGCTGTTTCGCGTATAAATCCTTCTGTGCCCGGGCACTGCGCCTCGGCAGCGGATCTCGGTCTGCAGGATCGACTCCTGGGTCCTCAGAGTCAAACTGTATACCACCAGGGAAGGTCCGTCCTAATCACGCCGACCGAGGGAGCCAAGCTGGATCTATGTCTCTCAGCCTCGTTGAGTCAGCAGCCGTTTTCCTGGACATCCGGTGCCAGCAGCACCTGGGAGGGCGGCGCGTCAAGCGGGAGGTCCGTTCTGGAGTGCCTCGCGGGTGCGTAATGTCTTCTGGGCAGCCGGGGTAGGGTCGGCGGAGGGAAGGAGGCAATATGGCGGCAGCCGCGCGGCTCGTGTCCGGCACCACGGTATGTGCCCGGAGAAGTTGGGAACCTGTGCCGCACCTCTACAGCTCACCGTTGGCAAGCGGCGGCATCCTGGGGCCTGATGTCGCAGGTTCCCACGCCACCGGGGAGCCCGCCAAGCAGTCCGCGAATGCGGGAAGGGAAACAGCAATTCCACCTACCCTTGCCGGCTGGTCCTCCGGAGCTGCTCCGTGGTCTCAGCTCCAGTCTCCTCCCGCAGCTCCTCCCGTGGAAGCCCGGGCCTCAGGTCCCTCCTTCCGGCCTCATCGTGTCCGCTGTAGGCTGTCTTCTTGCTTCTTTCCTCCTCAGTTTCTGCTAGAATTGGTCCTTTCTGTAGATGACCATCCGGTCTGGCGGTGTTTTTCGTCCGCCATCTTCTCGCCCGAGCTTGAACTTTCCTGTGTTTGTTGGCCATTTGTCCTTCTTTGAACCTCTATCTGCTTCCCACTTTTTATGTGTTGTTTTGTTTTCTTGCGATTTTTTAGTCCTTTGTAGATTCTAGATATTAGCCCTTTATTGGATGTATATTTTGTGAATATTTTCTCCCATTCTGTAGGTTGTCTATTTACTCTGCTTGATTATTTTCCTTGCTGTGCAGAAGCTTTTTAATTTAATCAAGTTCCTTTTATTAATTTTTATTTTTGCTGTAATTTCCTTTGTGCTCTTAGTCAAATTCTTTGCCTAGACTTATGTGTTAAGAGAGTTTTTCTTATGTTTTCTTCTAGATATTTTATGCCTTACACTTAAGTCTTTTATCCATCTTTGTGAGTGGTGAGAGATAGAGGCTCTGATTCATTCTACTGCATGTGGCTATCCAGTTTTTCCAACACCATTTATTGAATAGGGCTTCCTTTTCCCAGTGTGTGTTGTTATCTGCTTTATCGAAGATCAGTTGATTGTAGGTTGGTGGTTTCATATCTGGGATTACTGTCCTGTCATTGGTCTAGTCATGGCTTCTATACCAGTACATTGCCTGTTTTGGGTTACTTATAGGCTTCTAATGTTAATTTGAAGTCTGATAATATAATTCCTTCAGATTTTTCATTTTGCTTAAGATTGCTTTGGGTATCAGGCTCTTTTTTGGGTTCCAAATGGAAGCATTGATTTAGTTCTTTCTAGATCTTTGGAAAGTATGATGTTCGTATTTGATGGGGATTGTTTAGCTGAAGTCTGTAAATCACTTTCGGCCAGTATAGGACATTTAACATTGTTGATTCTACCAAATCTAGTGAGCATGGGAGGATGTTTTTTCATTTTGTTTGTATCATCTCATGATTTCTTTCATGTCAGTTTTATCTTCAGTCCTTCTCTTTGTAGAGATCTTCGTCACCTCTTTGTTAAGTAAATTCCTAAGTATTTTATTTTCTTTGTACTATTGAGAATGGCATTGAGTCTTTGCTTTGATCCAGCTTGATTGTTATGAGTAACATTAGAAATGGCTTCTGGTGATTTATACATTGGATTTTGTAATGTCTGAGACTTTGTGAATTTATTAATCCAATTTCAGAGTCTGTCTGGTAGAGGTCTTTGGGTATCTTTCTAGATGACCAATATCACATCCTCAGCAAAAAGCAACAGTTTGACTTCCTCTTCCTGATGTGGATACCCTTTATTTCTTTCTCTGCCTGATTGTATGGCTAGGACTCCAGTAGATATGTTGAATAGAAGTGGGTGATTATGGGCTCTTTTGTTTTTTTTGGTCTTAGTAAGAATGCTTTAAACTTATTTTCCAGTCGGGTCAGTATGATGTTGGCTGTGGGTTTGTCATATATGGTTTTTATAATTTTGAGGTATGTTCCTTGTATGACTAGTTTGTTGAGGGTTTTTATCGTGAAAGTTGCTGCTGGATTTTATCAAATGCTTTTTCTGCATCTATTGAGATGATTATATAGTCTTTTTTGTTTCTCTTTATGTGGTGAATCATGTTTATTGATTTGTGTATGTTGAACCATCCTTACATCCCTAGGATGAAATCCACTTGATCATGGTGAATTATTTTTTTTCATGTGCTGTTGAATTTGGCTTTTTAGTATTTTGTTGAGAATTTTTGCATCTATATTCATAAGGGATATTGGTCTGTAGTTTTGTTGTTGTGTCCTTTTATGGCTTTGGTTTCAAGATGATATGGGCTTCATAGAATGAGTTAGGGAGTATTCTCTCCTTCTCAATATTATGGAATAATTTCTGTAGGATGGGTACTAGCTCTTCTTTGTAGGTCTGGTAGAATTTCTCTGTGAATCCATCTAGTCTGGGTCTTTTTGTTGTTGTTGTTGTTGGGAGATTTTTTTTTATCACTGCTTCAATCTTGCTACTCATTAGTGATCTGTTCAGGATTTTTATTTCTTCCTGATTGAATTTTGGGAGTTTGTGTGTATATCCCAAGCACATTGGTGCTAGGCATACAGTAGCCACTGAATAAATTTATCGAATAATGAATGGTTAATATTTATTTTGTTAATACAAACTAAATTCATTAAACTCAACTTTTTAAATGAATAAGTAATGTATAAGTGTCAACTCTAACCATGTCCCTAATAATTCTTCCCAAACAAAATAAACAGACTCTGTTTCACAGATCATCCTTCCAAATTTAAAAATGCCTTTCTAACCTTGGACATATCTTCCCTATTTCTCTAATCTTCATACACTCTACTGCTAATGATGTTCTGAGGAGTACTCTATAATTAGATTTGTTTGAATTTAAGCTTTTTCATTAATAGATTACTAAATTAATTCTTTCATGTTTTTATGTTTTAAAACCATCTGATGATGAGAGTACTAAATAAAAATGTAAGAAAAATGCATCAAAATATACATTAATATAAAGATCTATTAATGTAATAGAAATGTTCACTATTAAGTAAGACTGTTAATTAATAGAAAACTATACAAATGGCCTGCAGAATGGCAGCTTGACATTTTCCTGCAGCAACATGGCATTTATCACTAAATCAAAGAGAGATCTTAAAGTCCCTTACTCCATCCCCACAGTGATTTAGTCTTTTTTCATTTTTCTCTCTAAGGCAACAAGTCACATGTTCGAACCCTTATGTTAAAAGGGCTCCGCCCATCTCGACTAACAAGAAATGGATTTACAGCCTTGCACTTGGCAGTTTACAAGGTATGACATTTCCATTCCCATAAATACTGTTTTAGAACCAAGGACAGTGTATATCTTAAAGCTTTTTTTTTTTTTTTTTTTTTTTTTTTTTGGCAAACCAGATAATAATGAGAACTTCTGAGTGACCAGAGGCATTACATACTGAGATGGACTTCTTTCTCTTTATTGAGCAGGTATCTTCTATCTAGCAGACACAGTGCATGTTTAACTCACTTAATTATCACAAGAACTCTGCACGTGAATACAGATTACTTGATTAGCCAGGATTTAAGAGCGGGCAGTCTAGTTCCTGCAGTGCTCCACATCAGAACACCAAGCTGCTTCTAAACAGAGAGAGATGAGTTTTTATTTGAGGACAAAAGAAGTACATTGAAGCTGCATTATTTTTCTGCAAGTTTCCCTAAACATTTTTTGCTTCAGTTATTTGTTTCCTCTACATGATGGCCCTGCCCAACTTATTCTCAGTACCTGACAGAAGCAATACATATAATAGCGGATTGGACAGAGATACTCAGTGTTGGGTTTGATCTGGAGATTGTCATAATCTATATACTATATAAATTATATATGTAATAGCATATTCTTTATTTGATAATATTTCCCACTTCATACTTATTATGAGGTAAATATCATATAAGTTTAATATACATTATTTCTTTAACATTAAATAAGAAATGGCAATTGAAGATTAAAGTTAAGTATCTAGTTAATATTAGAATAGTGATTAGAATCAAGTACAGTTGGCTCATAATTCCAAGATATCTCATTTTATTATTTTATTTTTATGTGAGTTGTGACAGCATTTTATTTCAATTTTGTGTGTGTTTGGGGGATGGGGCAGCTGTTTGCTTCTATCAAGATCCCGTCTACACTACATCCCTCTCCAGCCTATATAGAATTTATCATTTTGAGGGAAGAGAGCATATTTTCCCATGATTCAGAGTTCACATGATTCCTATGATATCAGAATGTAAATATTCGTAACAGTCCATCTATTTTCATGTCTGGCCAATGCCTAGTCAATCCTTCTAATTCCTTCTGGGAGAAAGCCTCAATTAAGTGCTAAATTGTCTTTAATACCTGCTGATCATTCTGCTTAAACTCCATGGAGGCTCAGTTCAGGGTATAGAAAAGCAGCATCTGCTGTTGACCTTTCTGCCTGGAAAGGCAGGAGGTGAATTAGAAGAACTCCAAGGATTAGAAAGATGGTGGATGAATAGCCAAGGCAGTATGTGAAACCATGAATTCTGAATCGGACTATCTAGGAGATTCTTTCTGTATTAGTTCATTTGCTAAGTTTTAGCATGCCTGCCACACAAATGGGTTCTGAGATATTTAGTGCTACAATCTTTAGAGAATATATTTCTTCCACCTCTGTTATCAAACTAAATTTCCATTTTTAAGAGTTCTTTTTGTTCTATTTTTATGTTTTCTTATATTTTACAGAAGGATATCTAGACCATAAGTCTTTCATAACATTTGAATGAATTCTAGATTCTTAGGAAACAAAGTGGGCAAAAATTCTTAAAAGCCATAATAGAATTCATGATTATTTGCATATTCCTTAACAAAGGTAAAAAAACAAAAACAAAAACAAAAAAATACAGAAATAAGGTTACCATCCACTTTAAACACAAAAACAATATAAAAGTCATTCACTATCAAGAATTAAATCTAGTTCTAATTTATTCCTTGACTCAACTACTCCAATAAGTATCTAATTCACTTAGCATTCCAATTCCCTTCTCCCTTATATATTTATAAAAATTTGTATGTTAATATATATGTACACTTTTAAAAAAAATTGCAAGGCCAGTACAAAAAACTCTGCATACATTTTAGCAGATTCAAATAGCTGTTTACATTTTGTGGCATTTTTGTTATTTCTGTTTTCATAACCATTTGAAAGAAATTGGGATACAGTGTGCACTATTGCCAACTTCCAATCTTCAGTTCTAGGAACAGGGAAAGCCACTTACATAAATCCAATGCAAAGTAAAATCAGAATTAACAATCAAGTATGATACTATCATTACAGTCAAAAAAAAACAATTTTAACATGTCCCAATTGTGTCATTTTTTTCCTGGTCTAGGATTTAATCCAGATCATTCACTTTCAGTTTTTTATATCTGTAATTCTTATAATCTGAAGGAATTTTGCAGTTCCTACTCCCTCCCTCTTGACAATTTACTATATTGATGAGAGTATGCAATTTATATATTATATTTCTTTCACGATTGTAATACTGAACATAATTTTGAATCGACTGAACACTACAAAAATGAATAATATATACTTTCTACATCTTTTTCTTGGCCACATCTATATAGTCTTTCATTATACACCCCTTGGGGACATGCTGGGGTG